CCAGAAAATGGTCGAGATGGCCAGGACAGACTTTTCTCCTATCCGTCAGTGCGACGTACTCCTCGTGAGCAAACGTGAATGTGAGAAAGCAACAGTGAGCCGCCCAACTCCCACCATCGGCTATTGATTGGTTTCCCAGTCCCCGTTTCACCATGCTGTCAAAACAAACGGCTATCAACAAACCAATCAAAAAAGCAAGAGTAACAAATGGGTCGTACAAAAAAAAAAAAACTATATCATCGTAGGCTCAACTGGCCCCAGGATCCAACGTGGTATTCCCTTTGCTCATCCGTCTTTCTCTCTCCATCCATCCACCAATGCCCGTCATGTGGGTTTCTATGTGGTGTAGATGAAGTCTGGCCGCCTATCGCCCAGCATGTCAATTTCAGACGCAGTGAGGCCGGTGACCCAGCCGTCGCGGTCGCCACGCTTGCGGCGTGTGTTCTCACGGCGCAGCATCAGAGTCATGAGCACCGAGCCGCCAAACAAGAACAGTGCCATGTAGGACAAGACGACGCCGTGGCCGACAAAGTAGCGCGGGGCGGCAAAGTAAATGTTGGACGACACGATGCCGTTCAAGTTGCCCCAGCCAATGACGAAGCCGAGCACGACGCCGCGCTTGTAGACGCCTTCGGAATTGTTGGCCACCCAGGTAATGGTGTTGGCGATGCACGGATAGATGCCCAAGGCCGCCAAAAAGGTGCCGGCATACTGTACGCCAGGGCGCGACGAGCCGATGAGCATGCTGAAACCGACGATGCCAAGCAAGGACACGAGAATGTTGCAGAGGCCACGCTGCCGCGTGCGGTCGGCGACGTAGCCAATGACAATGGTCAGGATGGCGGCCGCGGCGTACGGCGGCACGGACACGAGCTGGCTGTGGACGACCGAGTCGCCCCAGCCCATGGCGACAATGATGGATGGCAGGAACAGCGAGAAGGCATACAGTGGCATGTCGCAGCCCATGTAAATGACCATGCCAAGCCACATCTTCCAGTCCTTGAGGGCGGCCCACAGGTACGTCGAGCGGAACTCCTCGTGGCCCGCAGACGCCTGCTGGTCGAGCTTGAGGCGGCGGATGACGCGGACGCGGTCGTCGGACGACAGAAAGCGGGCCTCGTCGGGGAAGTCGTGCACCATGAAAAAGGACAGGAGGCCCAAAAAGACGGTGAGGGCGCCCTCGACAATGAAAATCCATGCCCAGCCAGGGTAGCCGCGCTTTCCGTCCAAAAGGCCAATGGCCGCGGCGAGCAGACCACCAAAGGAGCCGGAAATGGCGGCACCCGAGAAGAAGATGGCAGCACGGATGCCAAACTCGGAGCGCTTGTACCAGCAGGACAGATAGTAGTTGATGCCGGGGAAGAGGCCGGCCTCGCACAAGCCCAAAAACCAGCGGGCTGTCAACAGGCCGCCGTAGTTTTTGACGAAGCCCATGCTCAGCATACTGAGTCCCCAGGTGACCATGATGATGGGGATGAAGATGGAGGGCCGTAGGCGCTTCAGGAGGATGTTGGTGAGGGGCTCAAAGAGCGAGTAGGAGATGAAGAAGATGGTCAGGGTCATGTTGAACTGCGGCGTCGACAAGCCCAGGTCGGTTGCCAGGTGGGCGATTTTGGCATTGCCGATGTTGGTGCGGTCCAAAAAGGCCATCAGGTACAAAAGACAGAGCTGGACGGACAGAGACGCGGTTAGTAGGGGGGTTTGAACCATTCTTGGAGACTTTGGAGATTTTTGGAGATATGCAAACGATGATTTTTTTGGCTTTTTTTATGGTGTCTCAGAGTTCACTCACCCATGGAATCAGAATTAAATCCAGGCGCCAAATCAATTTACGATCCTAGGATGGTCAGTATTCAGTATAGCACAATATAGCACATTATTGATGGCTCCAATTGGAGCGTCGTTGTTGGGAAAAGAAACACCCACGATGGCTTTCCGCTCAGCTTCGCTCAGGTGTGCGTCTGGGTCGGGAGGGATGTCGGACACAGTCGCCGTGTCAGCAGTCGCGGTGTCGGCCCCGGGGCTGCCGTGAGCTTTTTCGTCGTCACTCATTGTGATATTCTGGGTTGGTACAGCAAGGAAGAGAGTATGACGGGTTTGTTGCGTTCAAATGCGTTCGAAAGAGAAAAGGGGCAAGAGGAACGTAATAAAAATGGGAGACCGGGATATTTAGGGAGAGAGATGGAGAGCGAGAGAGAAGACAAAGCGGAAGGAAGGAGGCAAAGAGGTGATGGTGAAGTGAGGGGGATGACATTCGCTGTTGCCCTATTTTGTTGTTTTCCACGTCACTATTTGTGGGAAGCTCCTTCCCTCCAGGGTTTTTGTATCCTTCGAGGCAGGAGTTCTCGAGTCTTGGCTTGGCGGGCCTCCTTCTTCCACTTTTGATCCTTTCGTTCCTTCCAACCTGGAGAAGGAGCTGGGAGCTTCAACGTCGAGGGAATCAGAAAGTGGCAACGAACCTAGTCGACACACAAGAGCGTCCCAAAAACTGGGGCCAACAAACAGTACACGCACGCAGCAGGTGTAAGTCGGAGGAGGCGACCAAAGGGGAAAGTCGAGGTGGGGCTAGTGCGTGGTGGGAAGTGGCTAAGGAGAGGTGGAGGGAAGGAAGCAAGCGATGAAAAGGAAAAGGAAAAATAGCGACGCGAAATAAACCACGGCAGCCACCAACAAGCAGACGAGAAAGAAACGAAGCGACAGGGACAGAAGAGCGAGGGCAGAAGGGCAGCGGGCGTAAAGAGACAGACGCTGTGACTCCGAAGGGCGCCGCTGTGGAGGAAGACCGAGTGCGGAGATCAAAATGTGGTGAATGACACAAAATGCGTGGGTAGAAAAAGGCAATGATGGACGTGATGAAAACCCGGAATGGAGGAACAGAGGAGGATCGAATCTAGGCCTCCCAAAAGGGGATCGGGTGGGCGGCGACGTAATTTATCAGCAGGCGGCCAGTCCAGGAAATACCGGCGATTTTGACGGGATTGGGGAGCAGATAAACAGAAGAACAGAGAGGCCTGGCGCGTGAAGGCACTGTTATTTACTGTGAGAGAGTGTGTTGGCAGTGCCGCTCCGGGTCAATGACCCACATGGGATGATCGGCAGTCGACTGTTGCGGGGGGATCGAGGTCAATGTTGAAGCGAAAAGGGGGGCGACAAGGAGGTGACAGTGCGGGTGAAGAGCGGGCCTAGCCAAGGGAATAAGCCGCGTCCGAGCTGGCGTCAAGTTCGTCAGTGTAGTCTCGAGCGGTGGTCTCGACGGTTGAAGTTGGGCGAGGCGGGCGTGGCGGGATGGGAAAATCGGTGAGTGAATGGAATGGATGGAACAGGGTATGAAATCCGCGCTGACTCTCTTCGATGGCTTTGTTGTTTTCGTATCGATCCCACGTGAATGTACTCTGAAAATGCGTCTGATTTCGTGTGGTTGACCCCTGCACCAACTGGCCAACTTTAGGTTTCCGTTCTCACGAGGTGTTTAGTTATTTTCTGTTGTCCGTTGTTTTCGTGGTGCCTTCTTTTCGATTTCCGCGCCAGAAGCTTTGGAGAAAAGGCCACTTTTTCGATACCACCCCACCCAACCCAACCTGTATTTGTGCGTGTGTGTTTTTAGTATTTATTTATTTTTTATCGTTTTTTATTGTATTTTTTTCGTAAGTCGTATTTTCTCTATCCCTTAGCTTGGCGTGGGGAGACAGTGAGAAGAAACCGTAGGAGAGGAACGGCGTCGGAGTTCCCTCTCGCTTTGGTTATGGGCAGGGGTGACTCGGCCAGTTCGGGCGACTTCAGGCCGAGCAAACAAAACACCACAGAATATGCAAACGGACGGTCCAAGGTGCCGTACGAGGACGGCGGCTAGCGACGGAGATGGTCTCTGGATTCGACAAGGGAACAAACAAAGCTGTTAACGATTGCTGCAGGTTGTAATTTGATGCCGGTTGATGTCGGTATGAAGCAAGAGACTGGCCCGGAAGACTGCTTTAGGTTTGCCCCGGCAGACAAGAACAACGGATTATGAATATGGGAAGATGCGCGGGACGGGCAAATTGGGGCGAGAACAAAAGTGCTGGTGGCCGAGCCTTGGCATTTGTCGTTTGCCGCGTCCTGCTTCTATCGGAAGAACACATGAGAACGAATTCAAATTTAAATTCAAATCAAATTCAAATCTAACCTTGTCGGTTCGTGAGCTGGGGCATGCACCCGCGTGGCTTGGCCAGGATCGGTCGAACCGTGATTGACGAGACTGATGTCGTATTAGCACGAGTTGAGAAAGAATGGGAAAACAGAAAAACGACAAAATGAACCACGAAAAGAAACCAGGACCCGCCGCTCGGAAGACCAATGCACGAAAAGGGGCGACTAGGACAGGACGCCAGACAAGCCAAGAATGCAATATACGAACAGGACGCCATGTTCTTTCAGGGTCGTGGTATCCGTCCGTTTGGTAATTGGTAACGTCTTACCTTGGAGTTATCGTGCGTAGCTGCGGAGACTGTATGGTGCAGTCGTTGCCCAGTTGTTTTCGCAGCCTGCCTTACCGGACCGAGGATAGGAGGCGAAAGGAGACCTTAGAACGCCATCGCGGGTGGCGCACAATATACGAAGAGGCGTGAACGAATCCGGTGGATGGAGGAAGGACGATATAGAAGGAAGGTCGAGGAAGAGTCGACGAGATTAAGAATACCAAGAGAAGAAAAAAGTAGACGAGAACGAGCCTAAAGGAGGCCAATAAAAGAGTGCGGGAGCACAAATGACAGGGAGCAGAGACAGCAGGCAAGAATCAAAAACATGGCTACGTCAGGTGCATTTCTATGTGCTTTGCACCAAAAGGTTAAAGCCAAGAGCGTGGCTAAGAACATTGTGCGTAAAAAGGGTAACGGATGAAAAAAAAAGTGCTCGCCGCCAGGAAGCGGGTCTTCTTTTCCCGCGTTTCCGTCTCTTCTCTTGTGCGTCTGTTTCCAAAGGCACCATAAACTCGCATCGGACACAGCTTGCTCCGTATCACACACATGGCTCACATCACCATCACCGCCAGATCGTCGAGTCGCCAGGTTGCCGAGAAGGATTTTGTGCGCAGGCCGGCATCCTCTACACTTCATGCATGTCTCGACACATGCCACATGGCAAGCGCAGACGGAGAACGGCCGGAGAAAGATGATCAATGGACAAGAGGCGACATCAAGAGTCAAGACGGCCTTCCGTACGGACACAGCAGCTGCGTCAGGTACACAGCGTCGAGAAAGAGAAGAGGACAAGAAAAGGATTGACAAGGAGAGGATGCCGCGTGCCGCAACGCACGCGGCTTCCCTTGTGCATGCAAGCACGGAAGAGTAGGCAGACGTTGATTCAGGGCGCACAGGCGAGCTTCTGCCCAGGCGCACTTCAGGCGCACATGGATGTTCAAAAAGGGACAAAAATGGACACAAATGCATGCGCGCATGCATGGAATGCATGGAAGGATAGAAGAAGGCCAGGGTAGAGGACCAATAGTAAGAGCAAGAACGAAACAAAAGAAAAGAAGGGAGTGGACTGGGACACCGCGGAAGCAGCCCTGTTGTGATCTGCTGTGACCGCTGTAAACTGCATACGACGTATGCACGCGCACCGGCCGGTGGTCTGACGGCCCTGCTGTATTCCAAGTGCACGTTTTTTTTCTTCTTTCTGGGCCTGCGGTACTTCAAGGAGTTGCGCGGTTGCTGGCAGATAGCAACTGCACCTGACAACTGTGCCTACACGGAGACCATTTGTTGACATCGCCTCATCCTTCTTGCGCAGTCTGTTCTTTTCTTTTGTGGACTTGTCTTGGTCGTGAGGCCCGTCTTTATGTTTTTGTTTGAAAACAAACATTCTCAACAACCCACATTATTTGGCGTTGCGCTGTTCCCAGACCAGGCCGGCTTCGCTGTCGTGAACACATCGTTCTGTCCTACCCATCTGTACTTTGTGCAACAGGGACGGGTCACAGTCCAAAGATGTTGCGACCCCTTCTTTTTCCCTTCATCCCTCCTCACTCGTTTTTACTTTCACTGCCACTGACTAAGACATGCGATCAGAAACATGGAAAGAGACGAAGTGAGATTGAGATGTGTGACACAGACGAGAAGAAAAAGAGGGAGGCCGTTGCCACCAAAGAGGACAGAAAAGACACAGAAAGTCCAGAAACAGGGATGGTACACAGACAGAAAAGCACAGCAGAAATCAAACCACATTGGGAGAGGCAATAACGAAAACGAGAGATTCAATACAAAGGGAAAGGACAAAGGACCAAAGAGGAAGTATGCCGCATATCATATTGAGGCTGATGGGAGGAGGCACAGAGATTTGCGAGATAGCGTGGTGGAAACGGATGGGGGGAAAATAGGATGGTGAATATTTGGTGGAATTAAAAGAAGTTATCAGAGCGGTTTTGTCAAAATCCGCTTTCTTTTTCTTTTTCCTTTTATTTAAACAAATAGGAGATTAAGGCGTCGTATGTCATTCGACTGTTTTCAATATTACATTTCACATTGACGCACATAAATACAAACTGTTCACGCAACGCCATTATCGACTGACGTCAAAACATCCTTTCGTTTTCCTTCTTAGTGCTCATCGCCCAGACTTTGCCCAGATAAGGTCGGCCTTGCGTCGCCGCCTCCACTCTGGGGCATGCTTTAAGCTCTGCGGATCCAGTCCCCACGGCCCACGGAGTTTGCTTCGTACATCGTAGACCGGCGGGGGCTCGCCTCTTGGCTTTCCTTCTTGTCTGGCCATTTTGTGTTTTTCGCGTCCGACATCTGTTGTTCTCCTCTTTTTCGTTCTTTCTCGCTTCTTCGCGTCTTGGCTTTTCTTCTATTCAGATTTCAGATTTCGTCTCCAGCTCCGTTTCCGGAGCATTACGATGCATGGTGACTGATTTTCTCCAAACATACAACATACATCCGTCGTCGTTTCTCCGCACTCTCTGCCACTAGTCTGTGCTGAGGGTAGTTTCTGGCGCGACGTAACTCAATCCAGATTACACTCGACATGGGTTTTTGGTTTTCTTTTTGCCGGCCGGCCACCTTTCTCTCAAGCGGCTTGCATCGGATGATGCCCCTTGCTAGGCTCCGTAATTAGTAAATAAGAAATGAAATCGAATGGTAGAGAGGAGAGAGGCTAAACACATATTCAATGTGACGATATGGCTTGATTTGTGACCGAATGGCTTTGATGCTATTTACCCCTTTTTATTCCCTTTTTTTTATCATCTTTTACGGTAGTGTAACACTTGATGTACGAGGTGACACGGTGAGAGATGCTTCCACAATACCGAGCTAAGTGACAGTCGGACGTACGTTGCAGCAAGGCCCATTGTCGTGACCGGCTCGCGTTCTTTCAGTTTTCCGCTCGCGAGGCTTGAGGCAGTTGTCGGCGATCTTTGACACTGCGGCGAGAGACCTTCTTGCGCACAATTGCTGCTCTCGCTGCAAGGTGGGCGTCGCGCGAAGATTGGATTTGGTTTGTCTCGGCTGCGTTTGCGTCTTTGCATTGATAGCTAGATCTCCTCGCTCCTCTGCCATTGCTTCATCGGCCTCTTGAAAAAGCCGATTCTTCCGCCAACACGACAACTTTTTGGATTCATCGGGCATCTGCAAACAAGACGTCACATTTACACCGGCGGCCGATCTCGGCGTCTGCACTCGAGAACAAGAAATTGCATTTCGGATCCTCATCACAGCAGATGGACTGTCCATTGTTGTTGCACAAGATGAGCGCCAAGGCGAAAAGCAAAGGCTCCAACATCCACGACGCTCCCCGCTGCCTCGAGTTCAGCTGCGGCCAGACGGCAGGTCGGCACAAGCCTCAGCGTTCTTTGACCTCCAATAACAGCAGCTACCCGGGCGCTGTCCAGTTAAAGGCGTGGATTTGCGTCTTATATATTCGTCTTTTATTTATTTTATAGAAAACCAATATGCTGTGCTCCCCCAAAGCAATCACCAACAGCAATACTTGGGAGGCCATGGCCATGCCGCGACCCGCGTACTGCAGCCGCTGCCTTTCTGCCCTTGCCTTTTACCCATGCTTCGTTCGTGTGTCGATCCAGGCAGTCGGCACCGGCGAACAACAAGAAGATATGGCCAAAATGGCGGTCGAACAAAGAGACAACAAAAATATAGAACACTGGGAGAGCAGGAGTAATACACCGCACTCCGCGGGATGCCTGCTCTCAAGCAATACGACGTACGGCAATCCCGGTCCAATGCATATGCAAGAAGAAGATTGCTTTTGCCAATATTTCCTACATGGCTTTCTGCCTTTCCCCGGCTCTTCGCCTCTTTGTTTCGATTTCTTTCTTCTTTTCTTCCTTTAGTTTATGACTGAACTTCTCCGCCTGCCTTGTCGTACCTCACCGGTCAGCCACCGATTGACGATGGGCGTGGGATTCTGTTCATTGACGTGGACTCCCCCTTGCGCTCCCCAGCCACACGATAAGCCGACTGTAAAAGGTATCACAATCTGCCTTGTTGCAACAGGACTCTGTGTTGAGAACCCGCTTTGCTAAATGAAGGCGCTTTCCTGTTGCCGTCCGAGGAACCTGTGCTGTTCCGAGAACGCCCGTTTGAAAGCCAGCCCGGAAGCCAGCCCAAAGCCACCGCAGGACAAAACAAAGCCCCAGGACAAAAACTCGTCTTTCGTCCAGAAGTACGAATTACATCAGAAATCATTCCGGCGCCGTGTACGACGCATGTAGTGTCATACACCGCGCGCTGTCCAGCTCTGTTCGTCACTCGTCGTATACCGTCACAGAGGGATATGCGTGTTTATGCTTATTTAATGTCGCGTCCATTGTGTTGCGTTTCGTTAGATGCACTTCTCTAGGTGCATATCACCTGAGTATCCGCGCGGGGTGCAATCACAGCATTTGATTTTATGCTGGTCGTGATATTCGTGCCTCTTGCCCGTTATTCCGTTATGGTGGTCGCCTCGAGTCGCGCCAAGACAAATGCGACATGCCTATTGGTCACTAAAGGCACCCAGAATTAGGTCCCGTTGGGGCTCTGCGTCAACACCCCCGCACCACTACACTCCCTGATGTGATCGCATCAGCGTCACTACGAGTCGTGTGAGCGAGTGAGTCAACGAGGCCGAACCTTGCGGCACAGCCTCGCCGGTGACTCGAGCAGAAGCATTGCTTCGCCATCGTCTTCAAGGCGGGATGCCATTGCAGCAATATGGCTCTTATCGAGTGACAACCACAGCCCCATAAATGGCACGCGTTGTCTCGGACGGAAAAGAGAACAAAACAATAACTACAAACACATAAAAAGAGGAGTGGCAACCTCCACGCGGAGTCATGCCAGGAAACACGACAGGGCACCATCACAGCTGCATTTTGACCCAATCACCATTACTGTCGCCAGAGTAGTGTAAGAATAAAACAATACGATACGCCGTCCCTCCACCAGGGGCATCCTTATCAAACAATACCTATCTCGAGCAACTCGAGTGTCACGGCAAACAATCGCATCGAGCCGCAAACATGGGCCGCAGCGAGACGTCAGGCTTCCGCGGCTATCTTGTCCGCGTCCAAACAAAACAGGGCCGTGTTTATCGCCACCGCAACCTCCGCTTGGTGCTCGACAAGAGCAAGAGCCACGGTCTTTCACTGCAGACACACCGGCTGTCCGACCACCACGAGGGGATCACGTCCCACGAAGCGGGCGACCTCGGCAACAGTTCGTCGACGGACGGCCTGCCAGCGGTCGCCTGGCGGTCGTACGCCAGCAAGGACGGGGGCAAGAAGGCGGCCAGCGGGCGCCACATCGGTGGCCACTACACGATGCTCGAGGAGACCTCGCTCGACGAGTTTGTGCAGCTGGCCCACGCCAATCCAACAAAACTGCCGCCGGGCGAGTCGTCGGGCGTGCACGTCGTCGCTCGGGACGCGGCCAGCCTCGACGACGACGAGCAGGTGGCCAAGCTCTACAGCCTCGGCATTCTGTACGACAGCCCAAACCCAAATGCGGCCGACCATGCTGCGCCCGCCTCCGGCCTCATCGACGGCCCACCCCCCACGACCGGCGATGCTGCCTCTGCCTACCAGGCCGACAGCCTGGACACCATCCGCCACGCGGAGCCGCTCTACACGGTGCGCCATGTAGCAGCGAAGCGCAAGGGTAGACGTGTCGTGGGCCACAGCGCTGCGACGTCACCGCTGAAGACGTCGGCGTCGGAGACGGCCGAGGCTGGTGTTCGGCCCGCCGCGCAGGACGATGACGGAGATGACAGAGTGACCCCGCTCTATGCACTGAACGGTGTCTGGGAAGACGCCGAGGGCCAGACAATTGATGGCCGTGCGCTGTTCAGCGACCTCGAAGAGTTTGAATATGTTGTGTTGGCGGACGACGACCTGGCGTCGCTCGCTGGGTCTTGGGTTGATCTGGAGAGTGTACCGGACACGGATGACGGCAAGTAAGAAAAGCAAGGCACCTACTGCTTTTATGTTTCATTTATATATCCAAAAGTAAATAAAACGAATACACCTCATAGCTGTGGTGTCCGTTTTTGACTGCCTCCTATCCATATTATGATATCCAAAAGAGGTAAAATAAAGCACATTCAACAAAACAATATCCGCTGCAAAACTGCTGGGACAGCACAAGGGAAAAAATTTATGCAGGGTATCGACAAATGTAAAAGATCCAAAAAGGGCTGCAAAAGTGGAAAGAATGCAGCAAAGCAAATTAACCCAAGTCAACGCCAGCACAAGAGACCACGATATACAAAAGACGGATGCAAAGGAAATTACAGCGTCATGTTGCCTGCGCAAAGGAGAAAAGGACTCATCTCCTTGGCGGCGTCGGCGGTAGTGTCGGCGTCGACGGTAGTGTCGGCTGCGGCGTTTGCACCGGTAGCACGGCCCGCGGCGTGGCTGACAGTTTCATAGACAGCAGCGTGTTCATCAGGCGGTCGACCTCCGTGTTGAAGGCCAGAGACGCCTCGCCAAAGACGGCCGCTGTCTCTTCAATGTTGTGGCGAGCGTCAAAGACGGTAGCCTGTAATGTCCGCTTCTCAGCCTCGGCGTCTGCCAGCATGCGATCCCGTGCCGCCACGCGCTTGTTGGCCGCGTCGAGCTGCTGTTGTAGCTCGCGGATCTCTTCACTCTGCTTCTCAACGACGGCGGTGGTGGCCGCATGTTGCTTTCGCTCAACATCCAGCTTCTGCAGGTCGCTTCCGTGGGCGCGTCGGCTGACGGTCAATTCGTCGTCGACAGCTTTCCGTCCCTCTCTCTCGATCTGCAGATGCATCTCAAGCGTCTGCTGCCGGGCAATTTGCATCTGCAGCTGTTGGTCAACGTGTCCGAGCTGTGCAATATGTTTGTGTAGATTGTCAATTTCGAGGTCCCTAGCCTCCAACTGGTCTTTCAGGTCCCGGTTGTCGATTCGGAAATCTTCCATGATACCGTTGTGCTCGTCCTGTTCCATGAGAAGGGACTCGATGCGCTGCTCGGCGTTGGACAGCAGTTCTTTTGTATCATCGTGGCGGCGTTTCTCGATGAGGTAGTATGAATCCTCCCTCGGCGGCGCCCCGAGTGAGGAGAGCAGCCCTTGTGTTGCCGGTGGCAAGGACGATTGCGACGACGGGGCAGACAACGTGCCCGTTGCAAAGCCGTTGCCGTTCAGGGAACGGAAATTGTTGACAATGTGCTCGAGACGGGCGACAACCTCTGGCGATAGGCCCGACAAGTCGACGGGTGATGCTGGGTCATTGGGAAAGCCCCCAATCGAACTGGTGGGTAAAACGGAGGGCGGAGGCAGCACAGGGCCTGGATCGAGCTGGTTGGCGACGCCGTTGAGAGTATCAAGTACACCAGCGCTGCTGGCGTCCGGTATTGGCGACGACATCTTGTCGAGGCCGAGGCTGCTCGACACGCCGATGAGGTCGAGTGGGAGTGGTTTGGGGGCGAAGGGGACGAAAGAAGGCGACGAAGGACGGTCCGTCGTGTAAGAGGCCATCGGACCACGCAATCGGATCGCAATTAACGTCGTCGCTCTGCCGGTAGGATCGTGCACTGTCTAATAACTAAGCGAGCCTCCAGTTGATAAACGAGGTCGAGGTCGAGGTCAACGTAGGGTCACGATATGTGCTTGGGTAGGCTGAAGGTGTATTAATTTGTTGGAGATGTTTTGATGTTATGTGGTCTTGGGGGTGAATAATTGAGCCAGCAAGCAGTTTTGTGCTGTTGGTAAGTTGGTAAACTGTCCCGGAACGGGACAGAACAAGAAAGCAGAATACAGAGTACGCGAGAAAGAAAGGCGACACACAAGAGCAGCTGCAGTCCCCTGGTCTTCTCACTGACAAATGCGGTTAGCAAGCGGCCTCTACTCTTGAGTGGCCGTGCAGACTAAAGAGGGTAGGTCGCGTCGGATGGCCGTGTGGAGTAGCGGCGTCTCCTTGGTACTCCGCAAATATTGGCACTCAAGAGGGAATGGAAAGGGGGGGGGGAAACGAAGCAGAAGACTTGAGAGGGGATGAGGTTAATGAGGAGAGAGAAATTATGCGGCTACGACGCAGGCGAGTAAAGACGTTAAAAGGGGCTGAAGCTGTCGTGTTGACAAAGCGCGGGAAAGGACGATCAGGTTACGATTCTACTACATGCGGAAAGAGCTCACTGCAAATGGAGCCAAGCAAGATCATGGAACGGCAGTAGAAAAGATGGCAAACCCTAGCGAGAAAACAGACGAGGCTATCCGTATCGAAACAGTCTCTCCGTCGCAGTGTTCGCCGTTCCAACACTCTCGAAAAAGTACTCTTGTCCGACAAATTCAGGCCAACAGTGGTCAGCCTTGGATGGCTACTCCGCCGCACGCGTGTGAGTGGGTCACGTCGTGACCGGCTGGCCAATTGGAAAGCATTGGCCGGCGCTGAGGTTCTGGATGTGGGGGAAGGAGCGAGGTGTAAGGGACGTGGTTGGTCGCGAAGGACAAGGGGGGAATGCAAACCAACAGAGCCAAAAGGATAAGGGACGGGACGATGAGGGATGGATGTTGGGGGCAAGAGGGGGCAAGGAAAGATACGAGCCCCCGACTAGGGCCTGTGACTTGACACAGCTGGCTCTTATTCACCACGTACTTTAGCCAGACGCAGAGCCTCTCTCAACGCGGCCAAGCGACGGTGGCCGACACCGGTAACCGACAAACGACTGTCGGCCGCCTCCCAGGGACAACATAACATACACGCCTGGCAGCGATGATGCCACTGCAGCCATGCGTCTCATCAACACAAAGACACTCAAGCTCGAAGAGTATTTCAACAACATCCCGCCGTATGCAATCCTCTCACATACGTGGGGCGATGGCGAAGTGACCTTTGCGGACTGGTGCAACGGGCTGGCCACGGTGCGTAAAAAGGAGGGCTTCCGCAAGATCGAGCTGACCTGCCAGCAGGCGGCGCACGATGGCTATGAATATGCCTGGGTCGACACGAACTGCATCGACAAGACGAGCAGCTCGGAGCTGTCGGAGGCCATCAACTCCATGTTTGCATGGTACCGCGACGCGCAGGTCTGCTATGTCTTCATGAAAGACGTCGTCGTCCCGGGCGAGGACGGCAACCCCATGCCCTTGGTGACGCCAGGCGAGCCGCCGCCGCCGCCACCGGGTGGCCGTCCTAAGTACCTCGCCGACCCAGCTGTGCGCCGCGCGTTCAAGGCGAGTGCCTGGTTCACGCGCGGCTGGACACTGCAGGAGCTGTTGGCCCCGTCCAAGGTGCTTTTCTTCTCGTACGAGTGGCTGCCGTTGGCTACCAAGGAAACGGAAGGCATGCTGATTAGCGACATCACCGACATTGACCGAACCTACATCAAGCGGCCTGAGGATGTCTCCACGGCGAGCATTGCGCGCCGCATGTCGTGGATGGCAAAGCGCCGCACAACACGCATCGAGGACACCGCATACTGCTTGCTTGGGCTGTTCGGCATTCATATGGCGCTGCTGTACGGCGAGGGCCATCGGGCGTTCCTCCGGCTGCAGGAGGAGATTATCCGCGTGTCCAACGATCAAACCATTTTCTGCTGGCAGGCTAGCAAGGTCGGAGGGCAACCGCCACAGACGCTTTCCAACAGCGAAGACATGCTGCCGGCACCAGCTGGTGCCAAGAACGCCGCTTCGACGAACCCTGTGCGGCAAGACACGCACCGCAAGGCCGAGCTGGAGCAGTGGACCAGTTTTCTCGCGCCGCATCCCAAAGTCTTCCGTGACTCGGCCCTCTACTTCTCCGAGTTTGGCAACACCGGCAGCGGCGGCGGCGGCGGCACCATGGGCGGCTGGAGCGGTGGAAACATGCCCGGTAGTGCTGGAAGCTTCAGCACATTGGGAAGCGCAAACGCTGCGTCCGGATCGTCTGACATCGGCCCATACGCAATCACAAACTTTGGCCTGAGCATCTCCCTCCCTTTGCTCTACACTGCCAAGGGAGCATGTGCTGTTCTTGACGTAGGCTACCGCCGCACGTCCAACGATCGGGCGTCCCGCGTCGTCGTCCCGCTGCACCGCCTCCAAAGCGGCCACTATATTCGCCTGTCCACCCAGCTGTTGATCATGCAGGTACCCGCCGCCCTGACTGCCTCACGGACCCAAATCTTTGTTGACTGTCGAAATGCGCAGTCCCGCGGCACGGCATTGCTGCTCAACCAGCGCGTCAGCGCACGGCCTGTCAATATGGCTGGCGGCGCGGCTGACAAACACCAGCCTGTTCTCTTCTTAACCTTCAACCGGCCCGTGGACCTCGACCGCACCCCGGTGGCGGCATCGGACATGGATTTCGTGCCATTTCACAGCGCCATCGAAGTCAGTGTCCACGGCTTGGGCGCACAGAGCGCTGCCATTCTTTCTGGAAAGGCTGCTGCTGGCGGCGTTGGCATCAATTACGGCAATGGCAATGCTCCTGCAGGCGCCGCCACAACAGAGCTGTTCCACCTCCTCGTGGGCGCCCGTACCAATCAAGCAGTCACGTCCGACACTCCTGGAGCGGTCAGCAGCGGCGGCAGTGCTGCCACCAGGAAGCATCGCGGCGTCCTGCCGCACGCCTCGTCCTCGTCCAACTCGTTGTCATCAAATCCTAGTACTCCCACAGCCTCGGACGACCATGTCAGCCTGGACTGGCACGCCGATGTGTGGGCACAATCGCCGTCACTGCTCGGCGTGTTTTCGGGCACCGCAGGCAAGGCCACCACCCTCAAACCGCTGGTTAGCCGCTTGTCAGCCGACTACTTTGGCTCCTGGTGCACGTCCCGTGCCCTGCGAAACGTCTTGTCCTGGCGATACTCTACGGAGGGTGCACTAGTGGTTTATTTCGAATTGGATGAGCTGTACAGTAGTGGTTCTGGGGAGGGAGCAGAGGGAAAAAATGGTACCGAACGTACTGGCACCCTGACGACGTTGAATGGCGACGACGACGAGCTTGTGCGCTTCAGTCACTTACGCCGATCCACCGCGACGACATCTTCCATAGAGCAACTGTTCGATATGATGGCGCCGTCGCTGACCTCAACGCTATCCAAAATGACAACTGCGGCATGGGACACGTCGGTTTCAATAAAGTGACATAGATAGGCAACTCTGTTGATGCTGTGACGAGTTTTGCAATAATCCACATTGTGAAGTTGGTTGTCTTAGGATGTTTTGTCATGATACCCAATTTAATATTTCATCTTTTATTTTCCAGTAAATCTCGATATTGTCAAATTTTATGTCCCAGCCATCTGTCGGTCACAAGAGAGCATTGGCCAGTTCCAGGACGATTACGTAGGCAAAGAAAAATAAAGTTTACAATTTTGAAGAAAAAATAAATCAATGGAAACGAGCAGCACGTGCATTGTGTCCTATTTTCCACAGAAGGTATGGTCCGTCAAGCCATATCCAGGCACGCCTTTTGAAGGTTGAAGAGCACGCAGACGAAAATCAACACTAACAAAAGAGAGTGAAGAGAGAGTGAGAAGAATCGAGAGAAGTAAACGCATCAAATAACGTGAAGGCATTTTCTAAACAAGCATGCAAAAATTACAGACAAGTGACCTTTTTGTTCCCATTTTATGTTTCTCCCTGCGGACGAGCAGAAAACGCCATGGAATACCCTTGAGTCGAAACATAGAGGGAAAAGCAAGCACACAAGGAATTAGGGAAGGAAAAGGCGACAGGAAATCAAAAGGGCCGATGGCAATAAGATGGCGTTATAAGCTGCTTGGAAAGATGTCAGGGAAAACAAGACGCAAAGCGTGCAATGTAATTCACAAGCAATCGGTTTTTGTCCTCGTCTCGCACCATGAACCCTCGCGCTTTTCAGACTCAAGGGTAAGCAAAAATACGAGCTGAAACATCGTTGGGCACAATAAACTGTAGCGGGAAGAGTTGGCAGAAACAATGGCAAGGACAGCAACGAAAAGACGAGAAATCAAACCACTCGACGAGAGCAACACGAAGCGGATAGTAAGAAAAAGGATTTGAAAATATGACAAGTATGACGAAAGATAGGAGAGTTAATCAGCAATGACTAGGGGTTAGAAAAGGAGCCATAACGTGGTCAAGTTGGCAGACACAAGGAGGAAAAGAAAGAGAAAAGAAAAAAGCCTTCGACAATATGAAAATGGAAAGACCATCGAGGAACAAAAAAACCCTCATGAAAAACGTTTAGACGTTTTGTTACAAAGAACCGCGCGAAACGAGAAAACATTACATAAGATGCATCCATAGGGTGTAAACCATGTGTGGGAAAGTAGGAACAAACACCAAAGCACAAAGGGTAAAAAGGACGTCGGAAGTCATGAAAGAAATGCCTTTTGTCGTTTTCAATTCTTTTTGCCACCTTGACGCCTTTCACATCCGCCGAACGCCAACACTATGACAGGAAAGCATTGCGCGACGAAGGAAACAGCCTCTTTAGGAGAGCAAACTTGACATGACAAGTCAGCGAACCGGTCTTGTCGAGCGAGACCTTTGTAAGCATCAAAAGACGGCGCTTCCACTCACGTTAAACAGCAGGGGACGGACCGCCCGGGGGACCCTGGTTGCCACCGAAAGGACCAGGCCCGTAGGGGCTGACAGCGCCAGGGACGGCGCCGTGGACAGGGTAGTGCGGCGGCGGGGGAGCAGGGCGGTAGGGGGTGCCGACGCCCGAGTTGTTCTGCGAGCGGCCCCACGACAGGCGCACGCGCGAGTTGCCGATGGGGTAGCCCTGCATCTGGTTGATGGCCATCTCAGCAGCGTGGCGGTGCACGAACTGCACGAAACCGCAGCCCTTGCCAGGAGGGATCTTCACGTAGGTGATTTCGCCAAAGCCCTGGAAGAACGAGCGGAGCTCGTCCTCGGTGACGTAGCCAGACAGACCACCGACGAAGACCGTGGTGTTGTTGGGGTCGGTGAACTGGTTCATGGGCTGAGGGGCCATGGGGCCGAAGCCGGGTTGGTAGTACCCGCCAGCGCCGCCACCGTTGCCCATGTTCCAGCCACCCATCTGGTTGCCGCCCTGGGCAGGGCCGGGACCGTGTATGTGGTTGCCACCGTGCTGGCCCTGGCCGTACGGGTGAGAACTGATATATAGTTAGATTAGGACAATTCATGCCAACAAAAAATACCACAAAACAGCCGAATGCGTTATGCGTACCGAGTCTTAGGCGTAGCAGTCGAAATACGCATGGGGCGGTTGCCGCAGTAGACACCCTGCATCTCGAGAAGAGCACGCTGCTGGTCGTTCTCGTCCGAGAAGCGGACGAAACCGTAGCCACGGGACTGGCCGGTGACAGCGTCGGTCATAATCTTGGCAGACTTGCAGGACGGGAAGCGAGCTTGGAACAGGCTGACGAGAACGAACTCGTTGACTTCGGGGCCCAGATCTCCGACAAAAATGCTGAACTCTGGGCTGCGGTCGTCGCTGTCGGGGCAAGTCAGGTTAGCCTTGTTGTAAGAGGAATGTGAGGAGAGAGACGCAAAGAAGAGACGTACCGACGATCGACCAGACCACCACCAGAAGCCCAGTTGAGCTTGAAAGCACGGCCCGAGTTGGGGATGTTAGAGCCGTTCAGGCCAAGGGCCTTAGTGGCCGCCTCGACGGTGTTGAACTCCACGAAGCAGTAGCCAGCGTTGCCAGAGGCGCGATCGCGGATGACCTTGACGTTGACGTTCTCGCCCGAAACAGTGGAGAAGACGTTCTTGACAAAGTTCTCATCCATCCACGGCTCAAGCTCGCCCATCCAAAGAGTCTTGGAGGACTCGCTGCCCTGGGGAAGAGTCGCGGCAGGGGGGAACGAGGAGTCGATCGTCGAGCCGTTGATGGGAGTCGTGTTCGACTCGGCAGTCAGGTTGCCGTTGGCGGGGGGAGGGAAGTTGGCCATTTTGAAGACTACGCTTTGTTAGCATCACAGGCAGAGGACAACTTTAGAGAGGCACAATTGGACACGACAACAAGGATACGTAGTACAATCATCCAATGCAAACACCAGTCCGAGGATACATTCACTTACCAAAAGACAAAAGCTAAAATTGGAGAAGAGCCTGCAGGTAGACGAAAGTATGTGTTAGGCAATGGCGAAAAAACAGAACAAGATGGCAAAATGTGGCAGCCAAGGCAGCAATTGACGATGGTGCGCAGATGCAAAAGGTCCGAAAATCTTGGGAAATGTTAGCAATGTTGAAGAAGGGAATTGACGCCATAGTGAGAGGCAACATTAACCACGTGACGCTAGCGACCAGGTTGATGGACATCCCTCTGTCGGCAGGATCTGATCCCATTGACAAAAATCTGCTCAATAAGATCTAGGGAAAGGCAATGCCATGTCCTTCTCTCCAAGCGGAACGTATTGTACGCTCAGCATCCTTCCTCATCTTACTTTAACCTCACCGCCTCATAAAAAATACAGCAAAAACTTACCAAATGTGTGAATGAGCAGTCTTTTCTCTAAGGAGACAAAAGCTGACGTACCGAAATAAGGAACCCAAAGACAATTCAAGTGTGATCGTAAACGTAAACGTAACGCCTCGCGCCTCGAATAGAAAATAGAGGTTGGAGAAGGATTGGTGCGTAGAAAACGTAGACGACGTGGGAAGATGCAAAAACGACAGTGACAGTGCTCAAAGGATGGCAGAAACAGTCGTATGCTAGTACAAGAACTGCGAGAAAGAGGAAAAGTCAGCGACTGCAATGCAATGACCGTGGAATAAAGTTAAAGCAGCAAACGAAACGTAAGGGCAAAGAAACACAAAAAACGAAACGAAAAGAAAAAAGGCTCCAAGCGAGGACACGAAGAACAGCGGATCGAAAAAAGGAAGAAATGTGCACGAATGACCAAATCGAGTCTGAGCACCAAGACAGGTCGCTTGAGGGTCCAAGGGAAGCTCCCTCTGTGTGCTGTCCTCTCTGGACAACATGGCTATGGCCGGCTGAGAAACTCGACGGACAGGGGTTCGTAACACGCAGCCGTCTGTCACGTCGAGTAATGTCTTTGACGCATCCAGGCACCTCCGGGGAGCAACGACTGGTAGACGGTTGCTGGGTATATACCATGGTCCGGTACATGGCACCGGATCCTTCAAAAGAGTCCAGTTCGTTTGTTTAAACGAGATTTGAGGCAGGAATTTTGGCAAGAACTGGCCAAGGCTGGCTTGAGCAAGAAGCCACAGTGCCAAAAAAAATCTCGCCTTTATTCCATATTCCCGTTCCTGGGATTCCACAGCCTGAACCTTTAACCGCGCGCACTGCTCTCGTGGCAATTCCGAGTGGCCGCAAAGCCTAAAATCCGGACGCAAGGTAGCCCTAAGTCCAAGCTTCGAGATATAGCGCAACGAAATGTGGAAGCAAAAATTCGTGCAGACTTGACGATTGGTGTAATTTGGAGTATTGTCAGCGTGGGCAAGGCGCGCCAACAATTCGTATATTGTGGCCGTCAGTCGGATCGATAAGTCGAGGGTCGAGGTTGGTCTCGAAGATTATGGCAGGCAGTTCCGGACACGTTGCGCTGGCAGTCATGACCATCAAAAAGTTCAATCTTGCCTCAAAGGCAAAAACCGCGAGCTAGGCGCTGGCAACCGAAACCCGCTATGGTGTCTTTCGCGAGAAACAGCCCCATGTGGGATAAATGCGCAGTACCGGCAACTCTCGGTTCGCAGATCGGCGCGCTCTGGGCCGCTATGATCATCCGCAATTGCTTGCCGCGTCAAGTCCTTGAAGGCGAAATTGCCAACTCCAATCCCGCCCACCGGTTCACAAGCGTGGGGCGCCGACATGTGTTCTGCCCTGTTCGACAACCGAAACATCCGGAAGCAACGGCGAGATCAAGGCAGCAATGTCGGTCGGTCTAATGTCGGGGTTTTCCGGTTGAGCCGGGAAATAGACGGCAGAAGTTGAAAGCGCCGGCCGTTTGAAATCGAGTTCTATTGCGGCTTCGTAGGTCGTGGAGGCGCGCGCATATTCGGTATGTCGAATGAGTGCCGGCGATAGTTCAACATTGGAAATCGTTGACGAGACACCTCGGACTCGAAAAGAGAGACACGGGCGCGAGGAAACAAGAGGAAGAAAAACAAGACAGAGCCACAGGGACAGGATCCAGGAACAA